CTTAAAATCTGAAAGGAACCCAAGAGTTGGAAACAAAAAGCTATCGAGCCGAACACTCGAAAGGGACCCTGGGGCGGTGAACAAGAAGAAGATCTCTCCTTTCTTTTTTTTCCTTCTGTTTTTTTTTTTGGCTAGATTGCCAATTACACTGATCTGAATCCTGCAGATTTGGCCGATCCAGACCATTTGACACCTTCTTCTATATTTTAAAGCACTAATATGAGGGTACATAAAGGAGACCTATTATATGAGTAGTCTCAATTACATGTAACAATGTATACATCATCAACATCAAAGCTTTTTCCCAACTAATTGGGGTTGGCTACGTAACAGTATATACATAATTACATCAAATGAGTGTTAACTATATCCCAAAATTGAAAATGTATTAGTAATAGTGTGCATTGCACTTTGGTGAATGATCTCGCACGTAGCGTGTATGCGTCACACGTTTTGCATGCTCCGCACATGCACCATCTCTTTCACCTTTGTACTAGTCTCAATTGCATGTGAATGCCTACTCTTAAATACTGCTTATATAACTCTCTCCTCTTCAATGGGACAGAAAACCCATAGCTTACTCTCTCTATAAAATACGACTTACGAAAAGCCACAAAACCATGTTATTGTTTCAAAATACACACAAGTATTTTTCAAACAAAAAAACCAACATTTTCCTCCACTATTTCAAAGTAACAAAAAAAACATAATAAACATAATATTTTCATACCATGAAAGTATCTTTCAATTTGAACGTCTTATCTTTCAATTTGAACTTCACTTAGGACGTGTTTGTTTTTCTGTAATTATTCTTTCAGAAAGTATAACGTTCTACATTTGTTTCCTACTTTTTATGAAAAGTTCAAAAACTAATCTTTTAACAAAAGGTCTCATTCTTTTGTTAAAAACTGAAAGATTAAGTTCCGGGGGGAGGGGGGGAGGGTAGGAACTTACTCTCAAAACCTTTTTGTTGATCACTATTCACTATACATAATATAAATACATAATATTAGTATTATTAATAGTATATATTTATATTTATTTTATTAATATAATTTATATTATATACTATATATTGATAACATGTTATATGTAATATTACTATATATTTATTATATATTATATATTATTATATTATAAATAATATATTTATTATATTAAATGAATATTATATATAATATAACAAATAAAAATATAAGTATTATATACATAATATACAAATATCTTATATTATACTATATAATATATAAATATCTTATATTATATTATAATAAATATTGTATTATATGTTATATATTATACAAATATACATTAATAAAATATATTATATAATATATTATATTATGTATTACATTATGCTTATGTTATATATTATATATAATATATAACTAATGAGTAATGATCCTATGAGACCCTCTCATACCCATGTGTGTAGGACTCCAAACGATCGTCATTAAATTTGGTACAGATCTCTAGAAAAGTTATCACATGTGTGTGGGATTTGATTTTTCTAGAGATCTGTGTCAAATTTAATGGTGATCATTTGGGGTCCTACACATATGGGTGTGGGGGAGTCTCATAGGATCATTACTCATAACTAATATATAGTACATAATGCAAATTACATTAAACAAATATATATTAATAATATAAATATAATTATATAATATAATAAATATATAATATATATAGTATATAATATAATATAAATATACAATAATGTTATATATTATATATCATATATTATTAATATATACTATATAATCCAATTATGTTAAAATAATATTATATGTTATATCATATCAATAATACTAATATTATGTATTATATTATACATATATTATCTAATGTTATATAGCATAATATAATATAAATAATATATTATGTATTACGTTGTAAATAGTTAATAGTGAATAATGATCACCAAGAGCACTGATCGACAAAAATGTTTAGAAAGTTTAAGTTCCTTCCCCTCCCCCTAGGAATTTAAACTCTCCTCTTTCAAAAGGAAAAAAAATGTTTGTTTAAAATTAATTTTCTGTTTTTTGAGAAATTCTCACACGGCCAAACTCGAAACTTCTCAAAAATATGAATGTTTTCTTTCTTAAAAAAATCTTTCAGGAAATCAAACATGCCCTTAGAGTGTATACTACAAAGTCCATCAAGTATTTTGGTAGTATACAACTTTGAACCAGGTTGCTTATCTAACAGATTGGTAGTATAACCCACAAACAATATTCAACTCTAGTGTCTTTTTAGCTACCAGCACGTTTTGGGCCTTGTGTTTATTTCCCAATTTCATAAGCGTTCTAGAGGCAAGTCACATCTCATAGAAAGCGGCCTCACTTCCACAAGTATATTGGTGTGTCTATCAAGAGTGTCTTTGCACTTAAAACACTCATACTTATATAAGTCTATAGACCACATTAAGAGTACAATTCAACTTACTAACATACAGGTTTTCACTAGACTTATCCATCGTATGGATTTTCTAAGAATTAGTGCTTATAAAATTTTGTCATCTACTGACCAAACTAATTATACATCCAGTTTGTTTTTACCATATTGAATCTAGAATTTTGAGGTTACAATAGACCAAGTTGGGTTCCCACTGTAGATTATTACTCAATGGACTCTAGCCTCATTCATTTTGACCGCTTACTGATATCATTCATTGCAAGGCCTTTTATCAAAGGATCTACCAATTTTTTTTTTTATGTTACATATTCTACACTAGTCACTCCATCCCCAATTGATATTTTAATGAAGTTGTGTTTTCTCGCAATATGCATGGATTTTTCATTATATACATCATTACAAGCTCTCGCCATAATATCTTGATTATCAAGATATATTATTATCATAAGTATTGATTTTGGCCATATGAAAAT